TCATACCAAAATACGTTAAAATATGGTACTTGTTGGTCCCTGCCTGGCGCTCGGCATTAATGGGTCGGCTCGGAGTCAGTATAATGTGTCTGATTGGGCTATTCGTGCTTAACTGCGGCATGGTATCTCAGTGAGCTAGCACTATCAATCCAGCTTAAGTCTGGGATAGTACAAGCAGCCGCACATACACATACACACGCATGCACGTCGTCATATGAGCGAAATATTCTCAAGTACGACGTTAAACCCAATTTCACCTCACCTCACCAGTTAAATATGGATATCCTACTCAGCAATAATGTCATCAGTTTCATTTTATCCATTACGCCAGAAACGTTAACAAGAAATACCATTCTAAAAACGACTGATGAAGACCTGCTACCTGTGTGAACTTCACGCGACCTTTGTGAGGATATTTGTTGCTTGCCCGTCATCGTACTTTCACAGTGTGTGGCTTTGTTCATGATTTCAACCACCGGTTTATCAACTTTTTCTCAAGCCGGGGGCGGTTGGGTAGCCTAGTTGTTAAAGCGTTGGCTCGTCACGCCAAAGACCTGGGTTCGATTCTCCACATGGGTACAATGTGTGAAGCCCATTTCTGGTGTCCCCCGACGTGATAATGCTGGGATATTGCTAAAAACGGCATAAAACTAAACTCACTCACTTTCTCACGCCGCTAATTTATCACCTGTATTTCTTACAAGCCATTGTCATACAGATTGCATATTGTGAACGGCTTCAATAAACAAACAGATACTGTGCAAACGGGGTCTGACTCACAGGTTGCAATGTAAGGGAAGTTACTCAGTCTGTGACATTGCGGGAAGTGAAGTAAAATGTCTGTTCCCTCAATGTTGAGAGACAATATTGACATAGTTGCGCCATAAGTCTCGTCGCACAATTGAAGGCATCCAATTAATCTCGAGAACATACGATTCGATGCTCATGGTGAGAGTCACTTGATTGTCTTGTTCAGACTCGATTATCCACAGTAACCCTGTATAAATCTAGGTTTGCGTTGGTGTTTGCAACCATGCATGTCGTAAGAAGCGAGTATCACGGCATAGGACACCATAAATGGGCTTCACACATTGTACCCATGTGGGGAATCGAACCCGGGTCTTCAGCGTGACGAGCGGACGCTTTAACCATTAGGCTACCCCACCGTCCCCCGACTAAAAGGACCTAATGGTCAGGCTTGCTGATGTGGTTGGCACAGGTCATCGTGTGTCTGCTTCGTAGAAAAATCGATGCTCATGATGTCAATCACTGGCTTGTCTGGTACACAATTTTTCTAAGGTGCGGCGTCAAATAACAAGCAAACAATACAAAGACATTTACATGACGTCAGAAGGCATTTCATCCAACCAGTTCCTCGCGGGATCGTGAAAATCCTGATGTGTTTCCTGATCATGCAACGTCGAAAAGGTTCACGTGGCATTCCGAACAAAATCATTGCCGTTCGCTCCAATGGGATATACATTTGAAAGGGGGGAATGCCTTAAACATCCAGTGAGACGTACTGCCGGTATCGTCTTTGCTATCCATTTGACATTTCCAAATATTGAATCATAAAGTTTGTCCAAAACACTTGGACCATGGCGTAGTCTGGAATAAAAGCCACTATTTTGAATCAGGCTAGCTATTCTCGAAACGTTCGTAACCCTACCTAACTTCTTAAGCCCATTCTTAACACATTGGCTACGATCATAGTTAAGAATTCTTAGGGCTACGAACGGTTCGAGAATAAGGGCCCTGGTGTCGTAAGGCTCGAGATTCTACTTTCTGATTGGTCAATGTTGACCTCCAGTTACTTATTTCATTGGTCAGAGAAGGGTGAAGGTCGTTCCGACGTGAGGTACGGTCACGTTTGAAATTGGGTTTAACGTCGTGCTTGAGAATATTTCGCTCATATGACGACGTGCATGCGTGTGTATGTGTATGTGCGGCTGCTTGTACTAGCCCTGACTGAAGCTGGTTTTGTAGTGCTAGCCCACTGAGATACCATGCCGCAGTGCTCTCCGGGCGGACGCTCTAACCACTACACCACGGAGGCGGTCCGTTCTGACGTGAACTGTAACAGGATGTTTGTAGCTTTATCAAAGAATGATAGCTGACTGAGGACTTTAGTAAAACACAATATGACAAATGTCAGGAAGAAATCAAAGTATTTCGGTGTTCATGTCATTCAATGGACTAACTCGATTATTCACGACTACATACAGCTGGGATGTGAAACAACAAACAAAAACAAATACCACCCTTTCAAGGTCATCTTAAAACCATTCATCCAGCGAGTTTTGTTTTAAACATATTTTATTCATGAGAAAAGGATTGGGTACAAGTTATACAACTTAGAACACCCTCTCCGTAGTATTTACATAGTATTATTTACATTCATTCAAGATGGACAGAGAAGAACAGAGCAGAAATATGGGAAAAAGGGGAACAATTGCAACAATTAAGAAAATCGTTTTGAATTACAAATATATGTTTGAACAATTTTAAATATGTTTTGATTTATGTGAACAGTCAGATCTGCATTGCCATGTAATAGTAACTCATAGGTTATATCCACATTTGTAATACTGCGTAAATTAGTCATCATGGTAGTTCTCTGTACTGTATATAATTGACAGTCAAATAAGTAATGATAAGAATTTTCACAAACATTTCCACAAGAACAGCTTGGGTTATCTCTTAAACCAGCACGGAATAGATCATAATTCAACTGACTACACATGTAACGTAGTTTTGTAAGGATGATGTTAGTGATTCTCGGTCAGAATCAAAGTATTGAGGAGCAGTTTTATGTTTTATAACAATATTCGATATAAAAGAATTCAATGACTCGCTTTTTCTCACTTCAACTGGAAGTTCATTCCACATTTTAATTGTGGATGAAAAATAAGAATCATACGAAAATTTTAATAGCGAGAAAGGAAGTGAGACATCATCAGAGTTGCGAAGATTATAGCTACATTTAGATGCTACGTCCCCAGGAACAAGATCAATAAGGTACGATGGTGCCATATTATTCTGTATTTTGTAAAAAAGGCGAAGTTTACGCTTTCTCCTACGTTCTGCTAAAGATTCCCAACCAGTTTCATAATACAGATGTTCATGATGAGTATATTTAGGTAAACCTGTTACAATTCTTGCTGCTTCTAATTGCAGTTGTTCTAATTTATTTGCTTGATATTTAGCACATCCATCCCATACTTCACACGCATATTCAAAATGGGGTCTTATGAACATTACGTAAATTCTATTCAATACAGAGCGCGGTAATAAAAATTTGAGTTTACGTAGAGAAGATATCATTTTGAAGTTATTTTACAATATTATCAATATGGTCAGACCATTTACAATCTTTTGAAAATGTTAATCCCAAATGTTTATGATTATTAACTGTTTTGACACAAACCCCGTTAAAGTAGAGATTTAGTGCATCAACATTCTTTTGCAAGGAGAAAAAGATTGCCTCAGTTTTATCAGGATTGTATGTTATAAGCCACCGCTTTGCCCAAGCCCGCAGCCTTTCAAGTTTGAATTCAAACCTCTTTCAATGAATAGACGATCATGAGAAGATGACCCAAGAGACGAATCATCAGCAAATAATCGTGTCAAGCAGTTTAAATCATCAGCAATATCATTGACATAAACAAGAAATAAGAAAGGACCGAGGACTGACCCTTGAGGGACACCAGCTCGTAAATACCCCGGCTTGGATAGGGCTCCATTCACAAAGACGCTTTGTGAACGATTACTTATGTAATCTGCTAGCCAATTTAACAATGAACCATGAATTCCGTATTTTTCTAATTTCAACAATAAACCTTTATGCCACACACGATCAAAAGCTTTAGAGACATCACAGAAAACCAAACAATAGTGTTTTTTATCATCTAAAGCCGCACAGATTTGGTCATATATTTCAATTAATTGATGGACAGTTGAGTGACCAGACTGAAAACCTGATTGATACTTATACAATAATCGATTTGCATGAAAATAGTTGTACAGACGTTTAAACATCACTCTCTCAAACACCTTGCCCACACAACTGATCAAGGATATAGGCCGATAGTTAGAGGCCTATCCAGCGAGTAAAAGCTCCCCAATGTGTTTGCAAAACATGCAGCATCGAAAAGTTTCACATTTGGCATTTCGAACGAATTCATCGTCTATAATACGTTGCAATGTGGTGGACGGATGCACACACACAAAGAGAGGTGGTGGGGTGGAAAATGGGTGAAAATGAACTGTGTAAGGCCCCCCACACACACACACCTCTCTGAACTCTGCAACACCCCCAACCCCCTTTCTCAAAAAGCTGTATCCGCCCCTGCATTCCTGAATATTCTTTTGTTCGGCATTTGAATTTTGAATCGAGAACGTCATCAAACTATTTTTCAAAGATTTTTCAAATAAAATGGAATAAAAGCTGCCATTTTCAACTGACTGGTTTATATCGTAACAAGACTTTACAAATGGCCGCTTTACCGTTTTTGCAACAGGACGGCCTTGACATGACGTTTCAACACGATAAGGTCACTTTGCCCGAGTTGTACAGCAGTATCTTAGTCAGAACAATGTTAATATGATCCCTTGATTTCGTTACCCAGAGAACCCATTACGAAGTCATCCGAATCCTCCAACAACAGGAACTCCGCTAAATACTTCCTCGGGTATGGAGTTATCTTTCATCGACCTTCAGTCTTCCGAATGAGGCCCAGTTGCCAGGGATGCACCAATGCACGTGTGAGCTTGCTTGTGGAACCTCCCCTTGTGTTGTGGCTCTTTGCGTATGCAGGATGCGCTGTTCTTATGGACTGTTTATCGTTACGATACTTTGAAACATACCTTTGTCTTTCATTCTCGCACTAAAAATATAACTCCGATTCAGTTTATTGTATGTGGGACCGCTTCCGTGGTGTAGTGGTTAGAGCGCCCGCCCGGAGAGCGGAAGGTCGCGAGTTTGAACAACAAAAAGTCGCTTGGTTTTTCATGGTTTTATTGAAGCACGAGCTTGACCGATGTGGCGAACATCATATCAGACATGGCCGCACGGTCGGTACACACCTTTACCATAGCAACAAATGATAGATAAAACAATAAATAAAATAGAAAAAACTGTCATAATAATATATTAATATGGTATGCCTTGCAGATATAATGGCAAAGGGTGAAGTCATGTTGTTATTGCATATACGAGTGTTATACGCAAGGCGAACTGAGAAGAACAGTCCAATGGTCGACCCTTATACAACATAAATCGTGAACGCTTTAGTTCACCAGCTTCCGAATCTCTTTTTGACACTGAAACAGACTCCGTCATGTGCATACACGAAGGGGACGTTTGGGGGTGGACGGTTATGATTTTAAGGGGGGGGGATTGATTTTGTACATGACAGGCAGGGGAGCGTCACTAACTTTGTACATATAATTTATAGGGGATCATTCTCATTGTACATGTTTCTCCATTAAAATCATCATCACACCCCGCCATAAATTATGAACGGTCCTTAAGGTAACAATAACTCATTAAACATTGAACAACACAGTTTAGCTGCCATTTCACATCATACGCAGTCATCCCTCGACATCCAACATCGACTGAGTGAATGATGTTTTAAACTGCTGACAGCGACACTATACCGTGCGCAATTGGCCTGTAAATAATCAGTTAAGTAGGTAAACGTGTGGCTGATAGTATGAGAGGTCACTTCTCATACGATGACACACACGTTTGTAACAATCCCCTCAGGCTACTGAATAATATTCATTCCATATTAAACTGCTTCAAATCTCATAGCTGATTGTCCTCAAACAGATATTGTAATAACTTATATAGGTAAAAATAATCTGTCACAGCATTTTGTTTACATGCTGCATCAAGCGCAGATTTAGAAGGGGTGTGCTGGGGTGCACACTTACTCACCCCCTTATTTGCTTCAAAATTTCAGCATAGCTACTTTATGTATATACTAGGACTAAGACAAATTTAGATGATGTGCAAGACAATTCCCCACCGGTTCTCACCCAAATTGTGTCCTCCCTTGCCACTCTGTTCATCGTGTTGTATGAAGCCCATTCTTTCTATTTTTGGCCTCGATATTAATGGGATATGATGCATAACCATTATCAATTTCTAAAGCCACATTACACAATGGCCTGTGTTGATGTGTCAACATAATTACACTAATTTACTATGCACAAAGCGATCGTTACGCTAACACTGTCGTAAGTATATAAATGCGTCGGCGTTAAAATCGCTTTGCGACCTCGGACCCTCGGTCAACGTTTAATAGAAAGATGCGTCCGTACAATCGCACAAGACGACTGTTATCCGTGGGGTTTGAAGGCGGCTTTGGCTCCAGCAAACGGACAGTCCATGCCAGTTGGAATAAAGTAGCTGAAATAATTTTCTTGCACGGTAAAATGTTATTGTATCAGTGTATCAGTTTATGACTACACAAACAAACGATAAATAACGTCAACAAGAATTCCAATAACCCCAGCCCCTCTAATGCAGTGAATCCAGAATACTACTTCACAAATAATCTCAAAGTATTTATGAAATTTCGCTCGACGAACAAAGGACGAGGACCTATAGAACAGGTTCCAAGATAAGAAAAGGTTGTGAGTTAACGACAATGTACTGCAAAAATCTAAAAAAATGCAATGTATGTACGAACGTTTACGTAAGCCATTATTTTACTGAACAGTAAAAACTGCATCCCCAACATGCTTTTGTTTCTCTGAGACACATGTCTACTGACATAACCTAGTGAGGTAGGTAGACAGCTTATGTATCCAAAACAACTGTAGCGAACATACAGGTTTTGAATTTGTATTCTTACAAGATACAGTGGACTCCCTCTAAACCGACATCGCTCGTGACCGGTGAAAAATGTCGGGTTAGAGGAATGTCGGTTTAGAGGAAGTTTTTAGAAACTCAGTAAAAAATTAAACCACACACAAACAAAATTAAACAAAGAAAACAAACCACAGGCATGAAAGCACTTCTGTATTGTGCTTTCAATGGGTAGTCATTGTGACTTGCAATGCAGTCACCGACCATGACTTCTTATTATAATATATGTGTTGTTGACACTGACTGGCAATGTTCATGCTAAACTGAGATGATATTAAAGACATGTTTTGGAACTGGATTTGAATGTCGGAATTCGGAATGAAGGGATGTCGGTTTGGAGGGAGTTACTGCTATAATATGATATAGGGACAAAGTCGGGACCAAATAAATATGTCGGTTTACAGGGAATGTCCGATTAGAGGGATGTCCGTTTAGAGGGAGTCCACTGTATATTGAAAATAGCTTCCGTGAATGTGGAGTACAGCTGTAATGGATATACATTGATATGTATGTTTACCGAAAACGGCTGAAGTTATCATAATTATCACAAACAGTTACAAACAGCATATTAAACAATCATTGAAGACAGCTGTAATGCTACAGTTGTAGTGAACTAGCATATCGCACATGAACACATCAAACATGTATTTCGATCACAGAAGTAACGAAAAAATCTCCCACAGACTGAAAAAAACAAGTATTTAAAATATTTTCAATTAAAGGCCGTAACAAAAGAAAGACAGGCATAAAAATCAAAACATCTGTCTACAATAAAGTATTGATATATTTCATTGTTGAGGAAATATCGGCTGCGGCTATCGTATCCCAGGCCCAAGAAATGATAATTTAAAAGCTTGTTTATAACTTGGAAATGTGTGAATATGCCGATATAAATGCTGTAGGGTTAAATGTGTGTTAAATCATCATGACCGCAAGTATATCCGCATATCCTCAGCCACCAAACAACCCATATCAACCCCAAAGCGAATGGGAAAACACAAACAGAAGCAAGTACGAAATATTAAAAGGACATTAAAATTGGCATCACAATCTCAGTTTGCTGGCGGATAAAGGCAAAGGAGATCGATCTTATCACATAAAAGTCTCCAATACAAACAATTTCAAACATAATATAATATATTTACAAATTGCATATCAGTTACACATACATAACCGAACCTTTCATATTCTGGGGAAGGGGGATTGGGAAGTTACCGAAAAAAATCAAACCGTCCGATAAAATACTGTGAAATATATTTATGATTCAATCTCTTGAAAGAACATGTCTGGCCAAAAAATAATTGAATGTTACAGATTGTTTGGGTTAAAAATATCTGGCTTTGCGGCTGTAGCTGAAAAATAATCTCTTCCACACAAGCCAATTCCCCCGGAATATCAAATGGGAAGGCCTTTACTGACGGAGAAACTGTAATACTTGATGAACACATAAAATGAGCAAATCTGTTGTAAACTCCTGGCAAATGTTCAGGCACTGTTAATGGAAGTAATATGAAAACGTAACCATGCCCAATTTTGGATTACTGTTCGTTTGGTCAAAAAGTTTATATTTTTTAATAAAGGAACAACAGTGTCATTTGTAAGAATTTAACAGACACCCAGTATTTTTTCCGAAAGTGTAAGCGGCGTAAATTCTGCCATGGCTGGCCTAATAATAATTATTATCCCAAAACGTTCAAAGACGGATTTTCTTCCATTCCAAAATACTATTGTCAAATGGTCTGTGTATAAATATGTACAGCATTTATGTATTTAAAAACAAAAACAATAAAGTTCAAAATTTACAATAATCCAATGCGATCGACGTTTGAAAACACTTTAGAAAATGACGCCATAACGTCATAAAAAAACGGGAACGAGCCAGCATTCCACCTTCTTTCCCAACTTGGAAATACAGATTTTCATCCAGTGTTATAAATACGCATTCATATCGGGTTACGTTTTTACATCCTTGTCCATGTATAATTAATTCACTGTATCTGGAATGATTCAACGTTTATAATCACTGTAAAAATATCACTACGTTGCACCGCAACAATAAATGACAGTAAGATATTGACTTTGTACAAATGTAAAGTTTCAAGAAATATTTTACACTTGACTCCACGTGATATTTTGGTAAAACTGTACTCAAATTTTCAAACATGCAAAATAGTGAATTAACAATTACCTACATACGATAATTAGAACTAGGTATAAAAAACATAAACATATATAATTTGCATATCATATTTAGTATTGCTATTACTAGCAATGACTGGCACTGTTACTATGATCATGATCAGTATATACTCAACAACAAAAGTTCAATTGTCAATATTTAAGTATTATATGGATCACAATATGAACTATTAATAGTTTAATGGTTCATATTATGATCCATATAATACTTAAATATTGAATATTGAAATTGTTGAGTATATTATGATCAGGATATATTTGTACAAATATAAACTACATTCACGTTTATGTAATATTCTATGAAAGGAAATGCAACGTCAAATAATGCTATGTGTTTCACCAATAAAGTGACAGTTTAAATAAACTTGGGTCCAACTCGGCTTGAAGACTGTTTCAGATACACCACGGCGAGTCAGCTAATTTAAAAAGTGAGTGAGTTTAGTTTTATGCCGCCTTTTGCAATATTCCAGCAATAATAATATAATAATATTTCTGGGAACACCAGAAATGGGCTTCACAAATTATGCCCATGTGGGGGAATCGAACCTGGGTCTTCAGTGTGTCGAGCGAACGCCTAAACCACTAGGATACATCACAGCCCCTAACTCTAAAGGAACAACGATCACAGACGTTTGTAACTGCATTAAAACTAAGACAACATTCTAAAACTAAAATGTGAAAAACTATATTTCAGGAGGTTCTTTATTAAAAAAACTTAAATTAGTCATTTCATACCCGAATAAGTAAAATGTTTATAAACAACTCCTTTATAACAGTCGTTTACAATATTAATTATTCAGAGTAATATCGTTAAAACATATCGAAAATATACCTTAATAACCCTCCCGCCCCTACATTTCTTTATACTTTTTGAAGAAATACATCATATTGAAATTTGGATGTTTTATTTTTCTCGACCTAAATTTTAGGGACGAAATCCGTAAACCAAAAGCAAAGCCAGTAAGTCTTGCCCAAAGAACATGGGAATGGGGCTGACAAGCCTAGGCTTATGACATAGAACTCGTTTTCATCTGTTCAAACCAACCTAGCTTTGAGCTCACCGAATATTGGGATGGTTGTAATTGCCAGTTTTGGCAGCACCGATTTCATAAGGAGTTGTCTCCCTTTAGTTTTCAGTTCAGAAAATACGAAAGGCACAAAGGGAAACAACTCTAGGCAGATTATGGTTCAGGTTTACAAGATTATTTCAAACTTGACTTTTCGCAACTCCGAAGTAAATTATTTCAGGACTTTGAAATTAAATTAAAATGAGAAAAGAAAATAATCATGGAATAATCATAATTGAAATATATACCTTGACAATACCAAAACGAAACTGCTGGACTTACAAAGAAGTTACAGATGTTACTCAAAACATTTTTACACAGCAATAAAAACATATCAAAATCTAAGCATTCGTTGTTGTGTTTTCATGAAATGGATCTGCATTTCTAACATTTGCTCCAGACTTCATTCATGTTTCACCGTATCAACATTTTACCGTAAATCCTTGAAATAACTCCCGGGGTTTAGTTATGAGGTCCTGAACCCCGGCTTGTATTCGAGGCTGTCGTTTGTATATTTATTCATTTTCAGTACGGGGTTTTGGCTTCAAAACCTTATTTTCTTATATACAGTATATAGCATAGATCCTTTCATTCATGGGTATCATTTACGTCAGATTCCGCGTTTATTCAAAACACATGGCCGTTGGACGTACGTTTACTCCAGGTATTTATTTAAGGATTTACGGTTATGTGCTTGTGCTGGACGCTCGCCAATAGTATGTCATTTATGGCGGGTAAGTGAAGGAGAAGCAAAGCGGTTCTTTTAAAACTTTAGCTAACAGTAAAAATGTAGTTATGGCGTTGACAAATCAAGGATCATATTCAGCTGAAGTCATGTATTCGAAGCTACGAATGGACTCTGCGATGACGGATCATCCGAGCTCCGTGAACCTTCTGAAAGACAGCCTGTTGCAAGAAACCAACGAGTTGTGTCATACAACAATTCAGCAAGCACAGATGGTCATATAAAAGCTTCGTAATGCCGTTTAAACAAGTTTCAAATATATTAACAGTCAAAAACATAAATCTCACAAGATAAACTACAGCACCAAATACATTATTAACTTAAAAAATATGTTCGTTATTGTAAATTTATGTCACTAATTTCACTAGACATCTTGAAAAATGGGACGGATGTATAATTGAATATTCCACCAAATATTTTCAAATTTACTCTTTGCTATATTTACAAATATTGTACAGACTATCAATAGATAATATATTTTTGGTCCTCGTCGGTATAGCATAAAATATGCATCCAAGCACCATTGTGTCGAAGTTGAAGGAACCTACGTGAATACTTCGAGATATCCCAGGTTCGACATAAAATGATGAAAAAGGAAGGCATTCGAAGGGACTTATCTGTTACTTACGATGTACGTTCGACACATCAACATTCGACACAACGGTGTTTACGTCTATATGTATTCACATTTTATCAAAGGTATTTACATTTTACTTTATCATATATTACATTAATTCACTGAGAATGGAAACGAGGAATGATGGCGTGATACGTTTTGTCGCGGCTTCGGAAGCTTTCCAGACATGTCATGAAAACTGAATCTCAGATGGGTTTATCCAGCTCTACCCATGTGTGGGAAGTCTAACCTGAACCCGAAACCGAACGCCGCAACCACTGTGCCATCTTACCACCTTACGATCTTATAGACCACTGTCTACTCTGTACTTATCACCTTACGATCTTATAGACCACTGTCTACTCTGTACTTCCATGTAGCAATTGTCAACGCTGTATGCAAGTTTCAGAATTGTACGAATCTCAACCGGTTACTCATGTTCCGCACGGACAGAATACAGTGGATGTACACTGGTCAGTCAGTTTGGACAATTACTGACAAAAAGGTTCGTTACATAACTACATAGCTACAATTCATCCCGTAATACAGTCAGTTCAAACCTGACAGAGATGAAATATCAGAAATTTGTTATTTTGATATATAATATGTAAACTGATTTTGGAGATCTGGTAATGAGTTGAAAATTCTCGAATTACAGATAACGTATAAACACCAAGGCCTTACTTATATTGGCAGTGGTATCATGTTCCCTACCTAATAAAACAGAGATATTGATCTGAAGATCTACATAAAATAACAACTAGTAATTCCTAAATTTCATTGTCACTGCGCGTTTACGACGAAGTACTCGATCATTAAGAGAAACAAGACGCTCATAATAATTTTTTTTAGCACCAACACGATTTAGATGCAGATTTAAAAATGCTAAATTGTTTTCAAAAGTAAATGCATTTCGTTCAAGGAATATAATATATAACAGTAGGTAACCTATATTAATCGAAGTCGTATGCATGTGGTTGTGTATAAGTGTGTCATGGTTGCAGCCGAAAAAAATATATACTCTTCAAAAAAAGTAGGGGAATTATTTTTACTTAATTTTTACTTTACGATTAAAAAAACGGGAGATATATCTGAGTCAGTCAATACTGATATGATAAAAATGAATGTTTTGGGGTGTGCATCACCCCTTGTACTTCCTTATGACAATAGTTGTTTGTACAGTAATCGCTCTTGAAAGGTGATTGGTGTGTGAGGTGAAATTTGCATGTGTACGATTTTCATTTTCAAACAAACCAAAACCGGCTAGAAACAAACACTAACAACTGTGTGATGCAAGCTGATTGTCGAAATGAATGGTCTCCTGTGATTTATCGACCTTCGTGAAAACCGTCAAAATCAACAATAACACCCCATGCACGTGTATGGGCTACTGCATTGTGCACGTGCATCGCATGCGATGTGTTCAGGGGTAGTGATAAAGAGAAATGGTGGTGCGTTCACAAGATGTCTGTCTTTGAAAAGTTCGTTAACGCTTATACTTCCTATCCAAATTGAAAGTTCAGGTTCCCCTACTACTTTGAAGTATATAGAAGTATATACACAAACGAGGTAAAACCTGGAGATACAAAAACAGGTTACAGATGGAATATGTTTGAAATATAAAAGGTTGTAAATGCAAATTTCAACAGAAATAACGATACAAGTGCAAACACATATCTGTACTGCAATAGGTGTTATAAATGAGAAAAAATACCCATAAACATTTACAGGAACTATTTCAATCCGTTTTTGTTATCAACAGACTGTTAAATTGCGGGGTATTGCTAACACTGGCCTATATATTTTTAAATTTGATTGGCACCTATTTGATTAGCTTTCAAGGTATGGATATTTTCTAGAAACGTAGGTTTGAGATTTTGGCTTGTGGGCCCCGTTCCTCAAAGCGATCGTAGCGCTACGACAGTCGTAAGTCTATGTTAAAGTATGGGGTTACGGTCACCTTAGCGCTACGATCGCTTTGAGGAACGGGGCCCAATATTTCAGAATGACCCCAATGGTGTAAGGAACGAATATCCTAATGAAAATGAATATTAATTTGAAGGATTATAAAATACCCTTCAGCGCAAGAAAGTATACACGCATGTTTTCAAATCTAACTTTAGAGTATATACTTTCTTTTGCTCGATAGATTAGTACGTGTTATGACTCTTTTATATGCTTATTTGGAAATGCTCAATTCGATTGATGACTATACTGAATTCCAAAGGAAACGCAAATATTACAAATGTTTGAAATTAAATGATATACGACATAAATCAATGCAAAGTGGTGTGTGTTCGGTGCTCAGACAGTCATTCTCGTCAGTTGTGTGTTTTGATGTACCGATGGAGGTCATACTCGATAATGAAATATCATTTATCATGAATCTCAGTGACGTTACCAAATGTCGTATTCTCTAACTGACATTATCAAAAACCCGTCTGGTTATGAATAACGACAATTTGTGTGTTCACTGTAAAGACTCATGTCCTTTGCATGATAAACAAACATCGATTTCTCTATTCCCCACTGTATCAGAGTTTTACGTGATTCGCGTTTCTTTTGGAACATATTTGTGTTGTGTCACATCTTGTAAACTCAAACGATGCTATTGAAAGATACACAGCTCTTCTCGTTTACCTGTCATTGAGTGTTTCCATTTAATAAGTTTTTCAAATCTTTATGGACATATATGCTAATTTAGAGCAATATAGTTAAAGCTTATCTGTTCATTTAATGAGGCTTAACAAAACACGAGTTTAACTATATTTCAGTTACGTCACGATGTGTTAGCTTCATTTGGGAACAGCAGAAGATGAAAGTTTTGGATATGGTCACTTTGGTGACAATAACACTGATAAATCCTTGCCAGAATCGTCAAAATGGATCAGAGCCCTTTGTACACGTCCGACCTTCATAGGCTTGCGTCCATGTACTTTCAAATAGTAATCATTTCAATAGTCATAAACGCCACGGATCTGGAGCTGACTGATCACTGACCCTTCGAGATAAGTCATTCAAGACCCTTCAAAGATTCCAGTACAGATACCGACTGACCTCTGTCCAGTACCTAGCAGAATGAGTGAGTTGGATTTTTCGCCGCAAATGTCCAGCAGTAGGTTATCTCATGTGAACATTGGAAATAGGTTTCCCACTTTGTAGCCATGTGGGGAATCGAACCCAGGTCTTCGGCGTGACGAGCAAACGCTTTAACCACTAGGCTACCCGACCGTCCCAATGCCTGTCAGAAGCGTTGCTGGACAAAATCGACGTATTCATACGTGTTTCAAACCAACATAGGATTGTTCACCAGTGCATGTGAAAAAGGGTTTTTGAGACATATCTAAGCAAGAATTCATTTCGCCTGTTTTACAACCACTTGGATTTTTAACCCGATCTTGACATCAGAAATTAATTACAAGGATAGACAATTTTGTGTGTTAAATCCTAGCATTCTCGACTTTCGTTCTAAGGTTATAAATACCGGATTTGTTTTAACGGACAAAACCATATGTACTGACCACATAAAAGTCCTTTCACATTCAAAGTATTCAAGGAATCTTACATGTCCCAAGATATTTTTGGTCACTGAAGGGGTTTAAGAAGAAACATCACCAGTGGTCATAGCTGTGTCCAAACAAGTCTGGACACTCTGTCTATATCCCCTCCATTCCCGACCAAGGGATCACCGTCCTCATTGTGTATAGTAGGAAGAGAACGAAGATCCCGTCCCTTTAGGACTCAGGGTTGTCCTCTGCTGATGGCAGTCTAGAATGTGTTCCCGTCGATCCAGCTGTCCTCGAAATAGCCTAGCCCGATCTCATCCTCGTCCAGTTGATGCAGATTATCCCCAACACTTGCACTCATCCTCCTCATCCTCCCGTTCCTGTTCCCACCTTGCGGAGGTCTCTTCTTCTTCTTCTTCTCCAACAGAGCGTCGATGTCGCGGACCAGGTTGTTCATGCCGTAGTACACGGCGTCTTCCCGTAGGAGATCCAGCTCACGGAAGCCCTGGGGCAGAAGGAGCTTCGACGTCCGGAGATAGTTGAGCACGTGTCTGGAACATAAACGAGAGATATTGATGTGAGGTAAATAACATTATAATCACAATGATGATGATGATGATGAGTGAGTTTATAATTAGTTTTACGCCGCACACAGCAATATTCCAACCATATGGCTGTGGTTTGTAAATAATCGAGTCTGAACCAGACAATCCAGTGATCAACAGCATGAGCATCGATCTATGCAATTGGGATGTGTCAACCAAGTCAGTGAGCCCGACCACGTGATCTCGTAAGTCGCCTCTTACGCTAAGCATGGGTTTACTCCGGCTTCAGCAACAGTCCAGCTGTATGAATGCCGTCTGTAAAAGATCGAGTCCGGACCAGGCAAGCCAGTGACTGACACCATGAGCATCGATCTATGTCACTGTGATACGATGACCTCCATCAGCCATGTTAGGGAGACAATGGCGATAAATAAGATGGTGATGGTTACCGATGAAATTGTTCTCAAATCCGAGCCGACCTCTTGAAGATCCGGGTTAGAATTGATCTTCAGCAACCAATGATTGTCGGAAGAGGCGACTAACGGGTGGACAGGCCCGCTGACACGGTTGCCACATATCATCGTATCCCAATTGTGTAAATCGATGTTCATGCTGTTGATCACCGGAGTGTCTGGTCATGACTCGATTATTTACAGACCGCCGCCATATGGCTGGAATGGCAGAAAAAGTTAAAATCAGAACCAGTGCCACCACGTACGTCAGTTAAAATCAGAACCAGTGCCATCGCGTACGTCAGATAAAATCAGAACTATTGAGATCATGTACGTCACTTAAAATCAGAACCAGTGCCATCACGTACGTCAGTTAACATCAGAACCAGTGAGATCACGTACGTCAGGTAACATCAGAACCAGTGAGATCACGTACGTCAGGTAACATCAGAACCAGTGAGATCACGTACGTCAGGTAACATCAGAACCAGTGCCATCACGTACGTCAGGTAACATCAGAACCAGTGAGATCACGTACGTCAGACAAAATCAGAACCAGTGAGATCACGTACGTCAGACAAAATCAGAACCAGTGTCATAACGTACGTCAGACAAAATCAGAACCAGTGAGATCACGTACGTCAGGTAACATCAGAACCAGTGCCATCACGTAAGTCAGGTAACATCAGAACCAGTGCCATCACGTACGTCAGGTAACATCAGAACCAGTGCTATCACGTACGTCAGGTAACATCAGAACCAGTGCCATCACGTACGTCAGGTAACATCAGAACCAGTGAGATCACGTACGTCAGACAAAATCAGAACCAGTGAGATCACGTACGTCAGACAAGATCAGAACCAGTGCCAACACGTACGTAAGTTAAAAGTAGAACCAAATCTCATGCAATATCATCTAAATCGCAACCTTTGCACGTGCGTTGTCATTGCTTATGTCAATATCTAAATCCCCGTATCACGAACGCACCCTTTGAACCCCCATCACATTTACACCTATTCGCAATGATCAGGCGATCGATGGCGTACAGCAAGCGAGCAGATGTTGCCGATGTTCCATCTGGCCCACGCTGCTGTGTATGTCCCAGTATTGGCTCGCATCAGTGTAGACTGAAGGCATGTGTCACATTTGTTTTCACACTGGTATAGTGGTTACAGCGACCGCCCAGAGAGCGGAAGGTTGCGGGTTCGATCCCCTGCCGCGTCATACCAAAAGATGTTAATATACGGGAGTTGTTGGTCCCTGCCTGGCGCTCGGCATTAATAGGTACAACAAGGACTTGTCGGCTCGGAGTCAGTATAATGTGTCTGAGTGGGCTATTCATGCTTAACTGCAGCATGGTATCTCAGTGAGCTAGCACTATTAAACCAGCTTAAGTCTGGGCTAGTACAAGCAGCCACACATACACACGCATGCACGTCGTCATATGAGCGAAATATTTTCAAGTACGACGCTAAACCCCATTTCATCTCACCTTACCTTAAGGTGGTGACTGATTTGGATTTTCAGTGGTCCATCCATGACATTTTCGCACGGTTTTTTTGCAATTAATGCCCAGAGGAATCCGTTTCCGCGAGTGAGTGAGTGAGTGAGTTTAGTATTACGCCGCACTCAGCAATATTCCAGCTATATGGCGGAGGTCTGTAAATAATCGAGTCTGGACCAGATATTCCAGTGATCAACAGCATGAGCATCGATCAACGCAATTTGGAACCGATGACATGTGTCAACCAAGTCAGCGAGCCTGACCATACGATCCCGTTAGTCGCCTCTTACAAGTATGGGTTACTGAAAATCAACATTCTAACCCGGACCTTCACGGGCCGTTTCCGCGACTGATTATACTCTGGTGGTTTCGTTTGCTTTGTAGTACAGTATAACTCGTGAAGCACCTGATGTACTCTCGATACACTCGATACACCCATCATGAGAATCGAAAGAGAACCTCAGGGAGTGAGTGTAGTTTAACGCCGCTTTTAGCAATATTCCGGCAATATCACGCAGGGGGAGACCAGAAGTGGGCTTCACACATTGTGCCCTTGTGGGGAATCGAACCCGGATCTTCGGCGTGACGGGCGAATGCTTTAACCTCTAGGCTACCCCACTTACCCCGGGCCACAGTGAAGTTGATTGGACTTTTTACAATTTTAAAATAGGTCAAAACTCAAACACGTCTTGTATTTTAGATTTGTTGTTTCAACAACCAATCACGAGAGGACTGCTATACAGTATTCTCACACTAATAGTCTGTATGTATTTATAACTATCAATAATTAATTATTATAATGTTTAATATTGACACTGTTGTGTTCTGTAATGACTTAGTTTCCCCAATTCATTTGTCCGTGTAATGTCGAATATACAATAAACCAAAGTAGGTTATCACCACTTATTTGTACTGTTTACCCATCTCCTTTTTCTATAAATCCTTAACAGAAAAATACAACTTTTAACTTATTTAAGTCAGATCTTATACATACATGAGTCAACCACAATGTTTTCACAGCATATTTATCTAAACAGAACCACAAAACACAGGGTGAGGTGAGGTGAAATTGGGTATGACGACGTGCATGCGTGATGTGTATCGGCTGCTTTGTACTAGCTGGTTTTATAGTGCTAGCCCAAAACACAGGGGAGGTAGGGTAGCCTAGTGGCTAAAGCGTTCGCTTGTCACTCCGAAGTCACGCCGAAGACACGGGTTCGATTCCTCACATGAGTACAATGTGTGAAGCCCATTTCTGGTGTCGTGATGTTGCTGGAATATTGCAAACTAAAACTAAACTCACTCACTAACCACAAAACACTTCTACAGACATCAGCGACACCTGACGGCTTCATTAGCCAATCAAATGCCACGAAATCGCCCACTTATTATTTGGTCATATTTGTCATTTTAAGCAAGACCGCAGGCTCCTACTGTCGGTTTTTTTAGATTAGAAAACATAAATGTATGGTCAGGTTTCTTTTTTCATTCTTTATTTGTTGTTTATTGACGAGCTATAGGACGAAATCAATAACTGGATCACACAATCAAGTGCTTGTCGTCATGGGCATGCTCAATCCTCACAACACAAATAGGAACAGACATGATCCCCAACTAATTTCGTTCGGTATATGTTCCTTTGGATTACTATGTGTCAGGTTATTGGATTTGCAAGTAATGCAAAAAATAACCTATGTGCGGTTACTGACATATATCCAACTTAATAACCGTGTGCTCTTAGTCGATAGAGTTTGTGGTCGTGGCTTGGTAATTAGGTCAACGAATAACGGGAAATTAAGCCGAGTCATATATCATGTACGATTGATGGTGTTATAGTGAAGGTGGTATAATGAGGATGTAAAGGATGAGCAATTTTCGATGCTGAAATAAATGTGAGATAAAGTGACACAAATGTAAACTACCTTTTAAACGAACAGTCTTAAAACGAACAGACAAATATAACGAATTTAACCACATATTGCGTAAGCGTTTGCTCGTCACGCCAAAGACCCGGGTTCGAATCCCCACATGGGTACAACGTGTGAAGCCCATTTCTGGTGTCCCCCGCCGTGATGCTGCTGGAATATTGCTAAAGCGGCGTAAAGCCAAACTCAGTCAGTGTGACATGTTGCGTATAACGACATACGGTTATAACGAACTGGAATTAGAGGTTCATTTTGCGTTCGACATAACTAGTTTACTGTATGTTTTCACGGAGAGGCCAGAGAGCCTAGTGGCGTTCGCTCGTCACGCCGAATACTCGGGTTCGATTCCCGTCATTGGTATAGTGTCAGGAGAATTTAAAAAGAGGGGAAAAGAGATGCAGAGAGATACAGTAAGAGAATGAGAAAGAGGGAAAAGATATGCAGTAAGAAAATGAGAAAAAGAGGGAAACGAGATGAAGAGAGATACAGTAAGAGTGCGAAAAGAGGGAAAAGAGATGCAGAAAGAGAATGAAAAAAGAGGGACAAGAGATGAAGAGAGTCATTGGTACAGTGTCTTTAGGCTCTTGTCTGCCCCGCCGTGCACGTGATATTCGTAGAAATTATATAACAACGTATAAACATACCCACACACTCACTTACAACAACATACATATCTCAGCGAGACATTATTATTATTAACATCATTTTATCTTTGCGGTCAACAACTTCTGTGTCCTGTGATGGGACTCCAAACACGGACGGTCTTATCTAAGGTCGGACACCTTGTCCACACTACCAAAGACGTTCACGCCGTGAAGACGCTGGCAAGGTCAACATGTCTTCCGTGGGATGACTCCACGCCGTGTTACATCAGCACAATCTGTCTTAGCCGTGAGCGAGACGTAATTATGAAACCGAAAATTTGCTGATCATATAATTGAGCCGAGAATTTAAAAAATACTATGAAGGATAGATCAAGTCTGTTTTCTCGTGACAGAAGCTTGATAGAGGCTTAATATTGTAATTAATCGTCACCGTTCTTTTCTGCAGCATTAGACTCGAGATTGATGGCGTTACGGCAGTTTATGACGTGGCGTTATGACATTTGCATGACATTATGTGAA